TTTATAAGATAAACGTATACGTAATATTGTATAGTTCATTGAAGAATGATTGAAACATATACAGGGTCCGGCAAAAGTGCGTCGAACTGTAGCTCCTAGAATAAAAAACTTGGGAATTTTGTTCAAGTGCAGACTTAAAGTATGTACTAGGATGTATTTCAGGAAAATACTTCTTCGTAGAATACAGATGCCCGACGCACTATTGCCGGACCCTGTAGATCATACCAAATAAACTTTAAGTCACGTGATTAAGCTTGACCGGCACAGCGTTGCCCACTCTTACGTATTTTCTTTTAATCAAAATATTTTAGAAAACAAAAATGAATTAATAATAAAAATATAAACAGTTATTATTTACCATCAACAAAACTCACCTCCTTAACATCACTTAAGAGACATAAACCGCTCAAAATATTGCGATGAGTTTTTTTACAACGGCTATTAAGCTATCTTGTACACTAAAAGAGGTTCTAAAAGAACCATTTTTGGCTGCAAAGTCTGCTAGTAAAAATGTTTAAGCTAAAGTATCACAAAACTTTTAAACTAAAAAAAAGTTTAAACTAACAGAAACATAATTATATTTTACTATTATACATAATTTACTATAAATTTGTCAAAGTTTGAAGAATATTTAGTAATATCGTGAGTTTCTTCTTCAAAATAAAGGTACATTGAGCTAATTCTTATAAAAACAGTTAAATAATACAAGTTTTTTTAATTAGACAACGTACAACAAATATGTTTATGCACATTTCGGAATTTTGTCGAATCATTTTTCGAAAAAGAATTAACAACAATCGAAAAAGATTAACGGATATATAGGACGAAGAACGCGACGAATAATATTAAAGAAGGCCAATAAGAGTCCATTTAACGTTCATTGTGTGTTAATTTCGATTGCCTTTTGGCTTCTGACCCCCCGATGGAAGAATCGGCTTTATAGGTGTCTTCGCGTGTCCTCGTGACCGCTTAAATACGTAAATTATTATAAATTCCGTATCGGCAAAGAAAAATAACAATAGATATACCGAAATATTTGGTTTATAGCAAGAATGTTCTATGATTTGTAGAGGAATGTTTGAAAAAAACGTAATGCTGGGTCCTGGTTAATTCAGTAGATTCTTTACTTAAAACAGAAGCAACAATTTGCATTGCACGAACCTTTTATAATTAATATTTTAAACAGCGCGTTCTTTCTTTTAAACATGCGAATGACTAATCAACATTACCTTGTTAAAAAATACGAATATTAACACTAAAAGACTCTATTTTAGCGTATTAGAAATACTTATGGTTCATTAGTAAACTGACGATAAAAAGTGTTAGGGATGTTCCAAATTATCGATACTTATCTAAAATATCGATTTTTTACGAAATTATCGATACAGAAAAAATCAGTACACCTAGTTTAAATACGTTTTTCTTAAACAAACTGTGTTTGTTTTTGTTTTTTTTTGTTTAAAACAGTTTTAGTGGAAATGAAACACAATGTTTAAAAAACAAGAACTGTGATTCTTAAGCACTTACTTTAGAATTCAATGTCAAATGTCACAAACAAATCTCATTGTACAGGTATTAAAAGAAATAAAAACCCGGAAATTCGATATATGAAAATATCGATATTATAAAAAATATCGATACGACACATATCGATGTTTTTCTTTAAACGACCCATCCCTAATATAAAGTGTTCGTTACTGTAGCCACAGAAAAAAGCTACTTTGGCTGTGCGACACAAGAGCACATATTTAATTATGTAACCAAAGGTCGTACTTTGTGTACGGTACGCGTATGTACCTACATACGTATAGAAGCGCTTTTTGTATGTTTCAAGGCAGGTCAAAGGTTAAATAGGTAATAATTAGTCCATAGACCAAGAAAAGTATAGTTTTCGAAGAGTTAGTACTATCAGTCGATGTACAGAGTGTCCCAAACAATGTTGCCAACTTCCTGAAATAGAATTTCCCACGAAGGCGGTCAAAATTTCGCGCTTTTTCTAAAAATTCCCACGAATTCCCAAATCCAATATAATGTCGTCAATACTTATGGTATGTTTGTCAATCATTTCTGATTGACCCATACCTAAAATTATCAATCTATACTAATAAAATCTTTAAGTGACTCACTGATTAATCACGATCCTGCTCAAACAACTCAACGCAAGAAGCTCAATTTTGGCATACAGGTTGATTCTAGGGTGTAGAGGTTCGATAAGAAGAGATTTTTCGAAATTCCAGTTCCAAGGGGGTGAAACCACCCCTCAAATATTACAATATTTTTCATTTAAAAAACGGCCAAGTTTCCGAAAAAACGCTTAAACACGTATATTTCATTTTGTTTTTTTACATATTTAAAAAAATTTTAAAAATGTATACAGGGTGTTTCGAAAAATCTGGTCATTGATTAATCACGATCCTGCTTAAAGCGCTTGACGTAAAAAGCTGATTTTTGGAAAACGGATTGACTCTAGGGTGTATAGGTTCGATAAGAAGGGATTTTTCGAAACTCGAATTCTAAGGGTTGTGAAACCACAACATTAGAATATTTTTCATTTAAAAACTGGTGAGTTTTTCGGAAAAACTCTTAAACACGTATGTATATTTTATTTTGTGTGGGTATTTCATAAAATATGACCATTGAGTAATCACGATTCTGCTTAAACTGCTTGACGTTTAAAACTGGTTTTTGGGAAACGAATTGACTGTGGGGTGTAGAGGTTCGATAAGGAGGGGTTTCTCGAATCTCAAATTCACAACCAAACCAGGGTTGTTAAACTACACGTAGTATTTAATAAACTACATTTACTACATGTCACAAGTAGTTTTTTAAATGTCGAGTAGTAAATGCTTAGTTTATGTAACTAATGTAGTTTTTTAAAATAACAGTGAAAAAATAACCTAAAAACTTTGTTTGTTAATCAGTTTAAGAAATAAAAAATCATATTTATCAATCAATTTATCAACAAAAAAAAATTAAGAACAAAAAAATATATTTTGTGAATTTGTCCCTTATTATGTGATATTTTTGATACTTAGTAATTAAAAATGGTTGGAAGTGTTATGTTTTATATACCAGTACTGTTTTTTAAAGATATACCTACCTTTATTATATTCTCCTGTAGAATGTCTATGGAGAATTTCTCCATAAGAATTTATAGTTTATTTTGTGTTCAATATTACTTTGTATTTCATAGAAAATACACTTTTGTTGAAAAAAAATTGTCTTTTTTTTTCTGATGTTGTTTAACTTATACAAATATAATATAACTTCATACTTCCATAATAAGAATTTGGCTTGTTTTTTGTTTAAAATCTAAATTGTTTATGTTTTACTATATTTTTTGTAGGTAGTTTTTAAAGTAGATTTTGTGTAGTTTTTGAAGGTAGTTTTTAAAATTTTAAAACGTAGTTAATACAAAAAATTACGCGTAGTTTTTTGCTTCATAAACAACTTAACAACCCTGGTGAAAACGCCCCTCAAATATTACAATATTTGTTATTTAAAAAACGGTTAGTCTTTCGGGAAAACGCTTGGACACGTATAATTTATTTTGTTTTTTTGCATATTTTGAAATTTTTTAAAAAATCATACAAGGTGTTCCAAAAAGTTGGGTAGGTAATTGATTAACCACGATTCTGCTTAAACTGCTTAACGTAAAAAGCTTATTGTGATAATATCGCCATATTGTTTTTTCTCATGCTGACATAAATGTGAGAAAATTTTATCCAGTTTGTATGTTAATGGAAATTCTTACTTTGCTTTATCATCACCATTACAAATGGTTAATTCGACGCGAACGAAGTGACGGGTACACGCTAGTATTACTATAAAGAACTATCTATATAATACATTTTTCGTATGTTCTAAAAACCAGTTATAGTGTATGAAAACTTTTCCGGAGTATAAGGAGAACGAAATAGTGGAATAATTGTGATTGACCTCAACAATCTGACAACAGTGTGAAGATGATCTGAACGCAGATGTTTAGTCGTTCAAGGCTTCCTGGGGGCTTGTCATTGTGTACCATCATATGTTCCTAACGACGAGTGGGTCCCTATATGCTCCATTCAGTGTTAAACGGGAACATTAAAGAAGAAAATGAACCTATCTTTGACACAAATCTAATTATAGTATACCGTAACCTACATAATAAGGATAGCTACTAGAAGTCATTGAAGTTAGACCTTTATTTTTGACGTTGACTATAAGTAAAAAAATAAGAAAAATGTGGATTCCATTTAAAAAAAATCAAATCCCAAATTTTGTTTTTTATTGTTTCCTGGCTTTATTTGTTAAGATAACTTAAAATGAAAAACACATTTTCATGGCCACTGTTTCTGCTCTATAACTCTGTGTGATTAAATATTGACTCTGACGTTTCGGCTTCTGGTGACCATCATCAACTTCATTTTTTTAAATACGGACCTGATTTTTTTTCAATTTAATTAAATCCTTTCATCACTCTTAAAACACTATATATAGTCACTTTGATATTTGCCGACGTTGAGTACAGAAAATTCCATCACCAGAATATTTTACGCCAAAAAAATAAAAATAAAAATGCAATACGGCATTTTATTGAGCATCAAATTGCGTAACTTTGCCTCCATTTAACCGATCCTGTATCTCTTACGGTTTCCGAAATCCCAATGATGAGCGTCGAATTTGAGCCACCCTGTACACGAATACTAGTTTATTGCATAACAGAGTTCACTATTTACAAAGACCGCATAAGGTCAACTCTTCGTATCTCTTGAGACTCTTTATTGAAATTTTATTGGTTTTCGAACCCAGTGATATCCTTGAAGAGATAAAGAAAGATGGAATTTTAATCATATTTACATAATTTCCTCATTACCGAAGATCACAAATAATTTCAATAATACGACATTAAAAAACTATAATCTAAATCTACTCCAAACGAATTATCAATTTTATCAAACAACCAGAAGATTGTGTCCAACAAAAAGAACATAATAAATTTATGTAAAATGACTCACCTTCGACGAACCAACTGGAACCTTGATGGTTCTTCTTCATAAATGGTTCTACCGCAAAAGCGTTGAAACGCACACAGAGAAGACCTCGAAGAACAACGACCAAGTACGATTTTCTTTAACGAGACAATGTCACAGATGGCATTCGATGACATTAGATAAATAAATAAACAAACAACAACAAAAGAGCGACAGCGACAGTTAAATGGAAGAACGGTAGGACTTGATGAACTCTCCGGTAACTAAGCAATAGGCCCGAGATATACAGTGGGCGACAGAAGATACGTTAAAAATAAAAATTATCCTAAATTACGAAATATTGATTGGTTTTATGTATGTGTTTAGGAAAATAATAATGCAAGTTTATATCAAACATAAGAAAAGTTTTGGGTAAGACTAGAATGGTTATTAATATCAAAATCGACAACTATGAAATTATGAACTCTTCCTGGACACAAACGGTACATTGTGAAACAGGAAATTATAGAGAGAAACAAGCCCTATAACATAGGATACAACATTTTAATGAACAGGGCTTTCTATAAAATCAATAAAATGAAAAATATACGAAATAATATACATGTACTCATATCTTTACCAAAATCGACAACTATGAAATTATGAACTATTCCTGGACACAAACGGTACATTGTGAGACAGAGAAACAAGCCCTATAACATAGGATACAACATTTTAATGAACAGTGCTTTCTATAAAATGAATAAAATGATATACTAAATAATATACATGTACTGATTTTTTTAACAAATTTAAGTTTCTGTCGTGAAAGTAACTACTATGGAAGTTCTACCGTATGATTTTCTTGATAAAGACATTAAATTGTGACCTACGAATGATTGTTATAATGAAAATAAAGAATACTTCGATTAATTGAAAGTTGTTAATGCATTATTCAATGAGTATAACCAATACTCGACGAAAATAACTTTTATGTAGAGATTTTGTGAGATTTGACTTCCTCCTCACAGAAGCACATCTCAAAGTACGCGTCCTTCTGCTCACAACTTCTTACGCACTTTCTAAGAGTTCGTACGAACAAAATTTCGTCCGCAATCATATCCAATGTGACCGCCGCCTAAGGCAATAAAAAAACGGAGTACTTTAAAGTACTGACGTGTACCCGTAAGTCCGTTTATCCGGTACCGCCCCCATATCGGGTTAATGAAAAGAAACGATGATATAAGAGCGAGTGAATCATGGCTTCGGCTGCTCCCAGTCCTCAGGGCTCATCAATCGGTGCAGTGCGGCGTTGTCACATCCTTTTGCCACTTCAAATACCGGAAATCGATCATAAAAATTCCCCAAATCCCTGTTTAGAGTTCGCGGTATTGGATATTTGTACGATTGAACTTTATTTAGTTAAGGCAAAGTGATAAGTGATAACAATCAGGAGTATAGATAAATTAAAAAAGTATTTTTTACCAGAAACCTTATTGGATAATACGGGGATAAGTATCAACGATGGGATTACTTTTTTTCTCGTTTTTTTTGCAAGTAACATTCGACAAATCTGCCTCAATATTTATCAAATACAATCACATGAAACACCTTCAATCGTAGGAAATCATGGATTTTATGGTTTATTACGAAACTTGGCAATGCTTCTTTTCCCAAGCCCATCGCGACATCCTGTGCTCTAGTTACGTAACTTGACCCTTTTGGCCTTGTAATTGGGCATGTATTTAAATTGAGAATGGTTGTGATTAAAATCCGCTATACACTACCGTAAAGACCGGTCCACATATAAACTGTCAGTCTAAACCTGTCAGTCTCGCGTATGCACTCAAAACAAATTGGACTATCTAGAAAACTGTGACGAGATCATTCATGTTTTAGAACAAAACTGTCGTTTTACCCAAGGACTGTATATATTCTAAAGGACTGTTCGGTCGCGTCAAATCGTCGCTGTCGTAGTCGCCGTGGAATGCTACGTCACGCGCTGACCAGCGCTCCACAGTGCGGCGGATGGTTATTCTAGCGGGACAAAATTGGGACTTAAAATCTAAGAACGTAGCAAATGGTCTAATATAATATAGCAACTATATGGTTAAATTTATTTATTTATTAACATCTTAATTTATTAATAAATAAATACAAGATAATAAAACTATGATATTATTCGTACATGACACACAAAAACCGTATTGTAAACTATTGCAAAATTCATAAAATTATGATATCAAAAAACTCTTTAGCAGTTCTTTTTTTAATTAATTTGTAATCTTGTGACACCCTCTATAATTTATTTTAAAAAAAATATATTTAATTTTGAAAATAATAAATAAGATATAGATATTTTAATTTTAATTTTAACACTCGGTAATTGTAAATTCTAATCTAATTTAGTATCCGATTGAAATGAATCATTTTGGGCATTCACCTGTTAAGCTTGAACTCCCTGTGACTGTGACTACCTGTGTTGGTAACTATTGGTAACTCAAAAGATCTACATCATTCAATATATCCATATTTGAAAAAAAAAGTGAAAGTTTGATATCTGCAGAACAAAGGCACGAAGGATTTTAACAAATAATATACGTACAGTAGAAAAGTACATACCTTTGGCAATCTTCAACATAATTTGGCTTTCTAATAAAATGTATAAGCACTTGTAAATATTTTGTTTTCGTATGATCTCTGCCTTGCTGAGCAGAAAACGACCAAATTTGGTTGATAAAATGTATCGAAATACAAAGAATATTCATGCATTTTTGTATCAATTGGAATGTCTACTATTTATTCTTATCAGTACACATTTTTTGGCTTATTTCTAACCAAACGCTTTTGTCCCGCTAAATTTATCTTCCAACGCACTGTGCGCTCGTCCGTCAAATGCAAAAATAACTGTCACTGTCTAAAATCTTTAGCGCCAACTTCAACTCGGTCAGTAGATGACGTAAAAAAACTGACAGTGCAGGAAGATAGGAATCGAACTATCTTTATCTCTATAGTATCCTTGCGTTTTACCTACACTGAAAAAAATATAAGTAAATTTACTAAACAATAAGGAGCCACTTGCTGAACCTTATATATATATATTTTTTTTATTTTTTCAGTTATGTGTAGACTGGACTTGAGAACTTTCATTATTACACTTTAAAAAAAATATATAATTTTAAAAGCTTCATGATTATTCAAATCTACCAACCTATGCTACCAAGGTTACATAAAAAATGAAAGCTTTTTCACACTTTTACAAGGTGTTAAGATTCTCTCTCTCTCACTCACTCATTATCATTTTACTTTCCTTGGAATGCCGTTCGTGTTACAACTTACAACTACTACACTACCTGTCCAATCATTCACTTTCTGTTTCATTCAAGTTATTTATACCGTTAAGTTGACTGTATTGTTGGTCAGTAGGACTAGGTGGATTGAAATCACCCAGAAAAATCGTTAAAAACAGATATTAATCAGTTCTAAATGGTATAGGTCACGATTATTTAAAAATTGTAAATAGAAAATATGATTCTTCATTGTCATTCTAAAACCTACGAAACACTTAAACAGTTTTTTGAGTGATCAAGTTATATTCAATTAGCCAAGATCGCAAGAAGAAAAAACAGAAACCTTGAAACAGAATTTGCTTCCGATAGCGACGACTAGCGATGTTTGTTCTAAATAGATCATGATGATGCGCCATGTTTATAAAATAAATTATTCGATATTGGTCGTCATGTATGTGTGTGGCTGGTCTGCATAAAGCCCCAAGGACGAATAGCTTATTAACCAGAGGAAGGACTATTAAATTTTCATTAATATCGCTAATGGTCGAGAACAAAATGATCTATTTGTTAGTTGCAGTCAAAATGCATGAAAATGTACCACGCGACGAAAAAAATCGACCAACTAATGTCTACAACATGACAGAAATTATTGTAGCTGCTTTTCGAGGTAGAACTCGACCACAATATGCTTTTTGAAATGAAAAGATCCTTTTGAAAAGACAATCATGTTATGCAGTTAACAGGAAAGGAAGCATTTTTAGCATTTGATTTCATTTAGCTAATTTTTGTCACATTTAATTCTGTAATAATTAAAATATGTTTTAATCGTGTATCTTTTTATTACCGTTGAGTATTTTACTATACAATTTTTAATTTTTGTTAAAGATATTTGTTGGAGATAGTTGAATAAGCTGAAAATGATGATATATTTGTATTAAATACACACATATTATTTTATGTTAAAAAATCTTCATAATAAAATTAAGCTTTATACAAATTCAGACTTCCTGAATTCTTGCTGTTTCGTCTAATCATATAATAACTGCAATATTAAAATTAAACACTGTATTCTTTGGCGTGTTTATACTCTGTCACCGGTTATAATGTCATACAACGATGATCAAAGGTATTCATTCCATTGTTGTTATTACGTACAGAGTTCCAAAGTAGGTATATACGTACTTAGGTTCTATACAATTAAATCGTTTGGCTGCGACAAAGGATATTGTCAAGGTTCCGTAACTCATAATAATAATAATATAAGAGGCTAATTTATTTATTTTTTCGGATTTGGACAAACAAAATATAAGAAAATAAGACAAAAAAACATATTTTGAAAATAGTTCTTTCGTTTATCATGAAAATCGACGAAGATGTTTGTATTTATAGGTAAATAGCTGGGTTACTGTTAAATTCTCAATACAGTTTGTGTATAATTATTATTGTAGCTCCTAGAATAAAAAAAACTTGGAAATTTTGTTTAAATGCAAACCTAAAGTATATACTACGATGTATTTCAGAAAAATATTTAAACTTCTATAGGGTGGCTCACAAAAGTTTGAGTGGATCGGGATGATTTTTTTTAAATAGAACACCCTGTATATTATTGCATTTTTGGCTTCCTTTCAGATCACTTGACATAATCCTAAGGTATGGGTAAATATATTTCGATAGTTTTAGAAATATTAATAAATAAATCAAAAATATATATTTTTCAGCACTTCTTATAAAAAATTATTAAAAATACTCTATTAGGTATTTACTTTAGACAGTCTATACTTACTTTGCTATAAATATCGTAATATTAAATCATACAGGGTGTTCAAAATTCTGCGCCAAACTTTCTATAATATAAAATAATTTTTCTTTGTTTTCTT